TGACCTCAAGTCTAACAAGTCTAAAACCTAAGCTTAATCAACTGACATCTTCTAAACGCGGTCAACACTAGAGTATAAAATATGTTAGTCTAGCTAGCAATCATCTAACTTAATTCTGCTTGATAGGTTAGGGTTCTCACCTTAGTAGGAACTACTAGGTCGAGCGTGACTAGCGGGGAGCTCAACCAGCGAGAGGAAGGAAAGAGAAAAAGGAAACCCTGAGGGATCAGATTCGTCGCAAAATATGAGTGTATAATGTTACGAATAACAGAGTAGTGGTAGTGCAGTTGTTGAAGAATCTCGTCAGAATTGAAAGGCCAAAGATCGAATCTTGGGGTACGTTTTTCTGAATCTTGGCATGTTGGAAAAAAACATCGTGTCAGTGTCATACTACAGTATTATGTACAAATTAATAAATTGTAGAAAACTGTGTACACCTGATGCTCGTTAGAGCCCCTCCCGGTTGCCTTGTGCTCTGGGACTATAAGCTAAAACTCATTTCGCCAGAGGTTCGTTCGTTTCGTCCCGCGTATCCCGTGCCTCTAACCCGCAAATGGTTACCTCACCTTTTGTTTGTTTCGTAACAATGGGGGTTTGCCGTGCTTGTCTCCTTCGTGTGTTCAATGTTACTACACGACCACTACAGTAATGAATCAGGCGTGCACATCAATTATTCCTCGAGGTGAGAAACAACTAACACAACATAGGCATCCAATCAACAACTCCCACCTGGCCCCCCATAGCAACACAACACACGAAACGAGACACACTGAAATGGGCACAATGTTTGATCACTAGGGCCCTGCAAAATTCACTCGACACTTTGCTCTGGCTGCTCCACCCCCTCTCACAGACGCATCCATTCAGCTGCATCCACATAGCCGTCCATCACGGCGCCCACCCCGGCATCAAGCAGCTGCTGACGGCGGGACGGGCGGGTCATCCAGTCGGGCAGCACACGGCCCCGCGGACGAGGGGTCTCGGGAGTGGGGGTTGCGCCGGGGAGGGTACGGGCTGCGGCGCCACGTTGAGATTGAATCCCGGGCTCGCCCGCTCCATCCGCGCGATTATGATTGGATTGCGGATGTCAAAAAGAGCGCACAGATCGCGCGGAGTGATGCGGGTGGCCCGGGCGTAGCCGATGAGCATCTCGCACGCCGCACGAGCAGTGCGGCGCGCTTCACGGCACACGGGGTCGGCGTCGTCGTAGACGGCCTGCATGGTCGTCGGCGCCTGCCAGAGCTCCACCTCCAAGCGCATCTCTTCCTCTGTCACGGGCGGGTGTGCCGTGCCTTCCGCACACGTGGGCTCCGCGTCGTTGATGGTGACGTATTCCGCCGCCGTCATTGCCGCATCCCCGAGGGCGAGCCTGTTAATAAGCGTCCCGACATCATCGATGTCATCGTCGAGTTCGATGTCGGGATAAGCTGCGGGGATGGGCTCGTCGTCATGCACGTGCGGCAGCTCCAGTGACCACGAGAGGGGAAGACACCCCGTGCGCCACCAGCACCGTTGAATGGTGCGCGCGCCGACGGAGGTCCACGACTCCGACAGCCACCCGAGCACATCTCGCAGATTCGGCCGGAATCGAGCGACAGCGGAAGTCGCTCCGTCGGCGTTCCATAAACCCGAGAAGGCCCGCAGCCAATGCTGGCGGTAGCGGGCCTTCGCGGTGGCGATTATGCCCTGGTCAAGCGGCTGAGTGAATGCCGTGGTATTGGGCGGCAGGAAGACAAGCCGCACGTGGCTCATGCACGTGGTCCTGACGCCGCACACGATCTCGCTCCATGCATCTTGAGAGCGCAGCATGTGGCTGCTCGCGTTGTCCAGCAGCACCACTATTTTGCGACCCTCGGCAAACATCGCCGCGTTGAGATGAGTAATGAAATGCGTGAATAACTGTTGGACGGGATGGCATGGAAGAAAGGGGCACGGTCGGCATCATCGTGAGAACAGACACATGAAAAAATTGCGCTAAAAAGCAATGAGAGTAAAAAATGTGCACATCGAACGCAAAGATGCTTACTGGCGAGGTCATCCAGCCTTTGGCGTTATGGCGCCAGTAGCATAGCGCCTCAGGGTCGTAGTCGGGCCGGAAGTCATGCGGCCTCTTCGCCTTGCTGATCACAAGCGGCCGGAATGCATGGCTACCGTCCGCATTCACGAGGAATGCGACGGCCAATCGCTCCTTCGAGACCTTGCGGCCTGGTATGCGGCCGCTGCTGTACGTGCGCCGCGGAAGCACCGACAGCCAGAGAGCAGTCTCGTCGAGGTTGAAGGTGTCCCGCGGGGCGACGCCGAGCTGCGTGAGGAGTCGCGGCATCTTCTCACGGGCGTCGCGCACGGCCGCCATATCTGCGCTGGCGGCCTCGCCCTGTGCCGCATGGCATCTCACGCCCTGGCGCCGCGATGCACGGCGCACCCAGCCGATCGAGCATCGGAAGGTGGGCGGAATGCCCATGTTCCTGGCCATCGCCGCGACATGGTCGCGGATGGTTTGGAGTGTGAGGGGCACACCGGCGGGTCCTGCGTTTGCTATCCACCGCCCCATGGCCTGCTCCAGCTCAGGCCAGGCGCCTCCCCGACGGCGCACCGGGTTGTCGCCGTCGGACGTCACAGCCCATCGCTCGGCGATTTTTAGGATGCAGCCGATCGTAGAGCGATCCGGGCGCAACCCGTATTGGGAGAAACACCATCGAGCTAGGTCAACATGGCGCAGGACGGGGTGTTCGACGTGGTGCGCGCAAATGGCGCGCTTGATGTGGAGCGGCAGCTGTTCCCGTCGATTAAATCGGGGCATTGTGTGAGGATGAGGTGAGTGAACTAACTGTCTTAGTGAAATTGTTGTTCACATTTTATCCTGAGTTCGAATTTACCTGGGACAAGGTTGGGGTCTGTTCTTTGGGGCTTGGGACTGTACGTGTGGTTGGAGTTCGTTCCATGCACCTGGCTTGCACATTTGACGTTTTAGGTTGGTAACCTTACGTTCAATTGTCTGACGTGGTGTATGAGAACAATGCCTGGCTACAATAACGCTTGTACCCAGCACAGGCAGATTACACGTGGGATCGTGAATTTGCCCACGTTGTCTGTTACACGCACAATGATCCGTGCCTAGGTGGCGGGGTGGATTGGCGATTGCGTTCACGAGGCCTCGTTGGACAAGGTTGGGGTCTGTTCTTTGGGGCTTGGGACTGTACGTGTGGTTGGAGTTCGTTCCATGCACCTGGCTTGCACATTTGACGTTTTAGGTTGGTAACCTTACGTTCAATTGTCTGACGTGGTGTATGAGAACAATGCCTGGCTACAATAACGCTTGTACCCAGCACAGGCAGATTACACGTGGGATCGTGAATTTGCCCACGTTGTCTGTTACACGCACAATGATCCGTGCCTAGGTGGCGGGGTGGGTTGGCGATTGCGTTCACGAGGCCTCGTTCGTTTCGTCCACTCACTTTCGCGGTGTAGGCTCCTGGCCTGGAAACGGGGCACAGCAGGGTTGGCGTTGGTTGTTCGGGACTGCACGTGTTAAACTGTCCGAGTCGCGCGCACTGTTTCCTGCCACCCCGGGGGCTTGTACTGTGGGAGCAGCAAGCGGGGGTTTCCTGCTCGGGGGCAGCGTTTCCATCCAGTGCATGGCAATTTCGCGTGCATGGGGTGAGCATCAGCTGTACTTACAGTTACGTAAAAAGCTTCGCAACCCTAAGACGATATCGTCGCCTCTTGTTTTTTTTCACCTCGATACTGCAATCCTCGCTTTCTAGCGCAGTTACATGTGCAGTAAACGCCCTGCGCGCAACAGGGCGCCATGGGCCTACCGTCTCGATTTTGCCACACTCGAATAAGGTGAAGGTCTGACTGGTGGGAGGTGAGCTCCAGGGGGGGTCCAACTCGTTTGTTTACAGCTCGTGGATCGTGGCTGAGGACGGTTCCATACGGTGTAGTGCACTATGACAGTACGGAGCTAGACTCGTAATGAGTACCGAGAAGCATACAAGATGGAAACTCCCTAGGAAATGTTCTTCTCATTTAGGGCGCGTTCGTTCCGTTCCCAAGTTCGAAAATAAGTCTGAACTTTAGGTGGTTACCTGATTCGCCAATCTTGTCACGAGCGTGTGACGAACATCGCGAATTTAAGGCCTAATGAAAGTTCGAACTTGAATTTTGAACATGACTCGAGTTGGCGTTGTGAACGTGCGTGAGCACGTTCATGTGAGCGTGTGTGTTTTCGGCACGTGCGAACACCATACGAAAATGACGACTTCGTCGCGAAACATACAATGGCATTACTTTGACTTGGCGAGCAAGTACCGGGTAACATAAAGTTCGAATTCTGGTGTTCGGCCTTGCGTGTGTGATTGCATCTTTGCAGTGTTACTCCCGCGATTTTCGAACTTCGCTACAAGGAAAGTCGAATTCCCATCGACTTAGGTTAAAAAAAAATTGGCCCCCAAAACATGAACTTTGTCCAATTTGACGGAACGAGCGCGCCCTCAGCCATCTAGTTTCAAGGAAGAATTTGTGTCTTAGGACAGGACATCATTGTTTTGTCGGTCAGTACCAAACCCACTGCCGACATCCTGGCACTGCGGAGCGCGTTACATCACTCGTGTTCGAGAGCTCCTCAATCCGCCGAAATCGCGAACCTGAAGTTTTATGACCCGTCCCGACAGCTTGACGACAATCGTTGGGGCATCGTAAGCTGGCGAGCTTTCATGTTGGCGCCGATGGCGAACTTTGTCAGACTCTAGAAAAAGTGGCTTGGGGCCAAACTTCCCTCCGACGGAGGCTACCTCGGGGTAACCAACAGTCGTGAATCGTCAGTTCAGGAGTCGCGAGGAGCCTACTACTACTTGCTCAGTTCTAAAGACGCGGAGAGGGGAACTGTGGACGTGCGACAGCGAACGCCCAGGTTGCAATCATGCACCGTACGGGTAGCTGTACAAAGCAGCGCACGGGCGCACGGACGGCAGCATCGTGTGACTGCTGAGATGTTTCAAATGGCGAGGCGACGCCGCAGACAGAATGATGCGGTCGCCAACGCCCTCCTGCTCGCCGCTCTCGCCTTTTCCGTGAGTTCTGTTTCACAACCTGTAAAATTCTGAGAGCTGAGCTTTTCCAAACGCTAGATGTTGAAAATACGCGAATCGCGTACGGTGCGCGAACGAACTATAAGCTTCTCTATATAGCTCCATGTCTACAATATAGCAGAACCTATAAGTACATAGTACGGGGCAGGGAAACAAATTTGTGAGGCGATACGCTAATTCCCAGCGTAGAAAAAAACCCGAAATACGGAGTGTCGGGAGGGTAAAATAAACTTCGGGCAAGGAAAAAGCATTCCTGTGAGGGTAAAATCGAATTTAAAATTCAGCAACATTTGCAGATGCGGATAACTTTCTTGGAGTTTCCGCGATCAGGACCCCTGAAACGTCTGAACTTTGTTGGCTAGAATCGTCCTGAAATTCCGGTTGCAAAGAAGATCCTGCTATAGCTGCTAGCAATAGCAGGTGCGACATTAGTGGTCGACATAGCTGTTTGGAAGTAAACTGTGAGGTGAGTTATGAAGAGACGTAGAGTAGAATTCGTGAGGCAAATGAGATTAGGAAGGACTCACCTTGCTGTTTCACTCACGCCGAGTGAAAGCTGGGAACTGCTCGTGGTGGAAGGGAAGGGTTGGGTTTGGGAGGTGGTGTGGGGTGATGTGCGGTGTGGGAGGTGGGGGAGGAAAAGAAAGGAGGGGAGGGGAGGCATTCGAATTTCGGATCTCAAAATTAGGTCGCAGAATCGCAGATCGTGGGAACGGCGGCCAACAAATTTTGTTTGTTTTTTTTGTTTTCCGGGCTGCCCAACCGAAAGGTATCACGTAATATGGAAGGTATCGCGTTTTCCCTTTCGTATATACTCTACCATACAAACGTGATACGTCGAAGCCTGAGCGTTTTTTCCAACATAACGCTGCTTAACTTTACTCACCTCGCTCTCGACCACTCTCACCAACATATCCTCACTCATCCTCCTCACTCCCTTTTACCAATAACCCTCACCCACTCACTTTGACTCTCCAATAACTCATCCTCACTCTCATTAACTCATCCATAAGAACCGCATCCTCCCTTCCGTCCTACCTTAACTCCATTCCCTGTTGTCCATCCTCCCGTGTTCACCTCTGCCCTTCCCCTTCCCTGGCGCCAGCTCCTCCCCTCACTGCGTGCGTCTGCCTCCCCCGTCGCCTCCTTTCTGGACTTCACCTTCTCCGACGCCCTCTGTGGCTCCTGGGCGCGCGACTACTCCGCCCTGCACGCCCGCATTCGCCACGCTGCTCGCTCCCACGCAACCACCCTTGCACAGACGGCTGTTGCTGCTGCTAATGCTGCAGCAGCCGCCGCAGCAGCAGCGTTACCACCGTCACCACCACCGCCGCCAGCACCACCACCACCAAGATCCCCACCACCGTCACCACCACCACCGCTATCACCATCACCACCACCACCATCACCGCCATCACCTCCCCCCCCAAAACCACCACCCCCACCATCACCACCACATCCTTCATTCTCCCCCCCTCCCCCCTTACCTCCTCCTCCCCCATACCCCCCCCCTCCATCCCCCCCGCCTCCATCCCCCCCGCCTCCATCTCCCCCACCTCCATCCCCCCCTCCTCCACCCCCTCCTCCGCCATCCCCCTCACCCCCAGTCACATACCCCCAGCCCCCCCTGGACCCCTCCATCCGCTTCCTCACGTACGAATGGCTGGACGAGCCGGGCGGTCTAGCCGACTCCCTCACTGGCCTCGCCACCGCATTCGCCTGCGCGCTGCTCACACGCCGAGCCTTCATTCTCCGCCACCCGCTCCTGCCGCTTGCGTTCGCGCCGAACCTCATCGACTGGTCGTTCTCACCTGACATTCCGATCGAGCCGGCTCGGCGGATCGTTGTGAAAAGGGGAGTGTTGGTGAGGCCTGAATGGGGAGGAGGAGGAGGTGGTGGAGGGAGTGTGGGGGGTGACGGGGGGAGTGGTGGGGAGGAGGGGGGGAGGCGGAGGGAGGGGATAGTGCAGGAGGGGGAGGTGGTGGTGGTGGATCTGAGGAACCAGTTTCTGGAGCCCGAGGAGTTCTTCGCGTTGCTGGACACAGCCTTGAACGTGCGGCTGTCGTGGAACAGAGGCCTGCTCACCTATTGGCTCGTGCAGGTGGGTGTAACTGCTGAGTAGAAGAAAAACATAACCAACTGTTGTTCTTGTTGTGTTATTCATCTGTCCATTTGCCTTCATTTGGTCGACAAGGCGAACCTCAGATGAGGCTTGTCTCCTGTTCCTGCGAAGCAGCAACCTTAGCCTTGTCTGTCTTGCCTCACCCGCCACCTCTTGGTACATATGGCGGCGGCAGGCTGTGAAGGGTGGAGGGGCATGGGCATGGGCATGGGCATGGGCATGGGCATGGGCATGGAAGTGGTCATGGGGATGGGCATGGGCATAGGCATGGGGGTATGGGAATGGGCATGCAGCATGGGCACAGGTATGCACATGGGTATGGGCATGGGTATGTGCAGTGGCATGGGGATGGGCACAGGTATCGGCTTGTGCATGGCCATGGGTATGGGCATGAGCTTATCAGCATGGACATGGGGATAGGGATGGGGATGGGGATGGGGATGGGTATGGGCATGTGCGTGGGCATGGGCATGGGCATGGGCATGGGGATGGGCATGGACATGGGCATGGGCATGGGGATGGGCATGGCCTTGGGCATGCAGCATGGACATGGGCGTGGACAGGGTGTGGAACATGGAAATGGGAATGGGGCATGGGCATCGGCATCGGCATCAGCATCGGCATCGGCGCGGGCATGTGCATGTGCATGCATAATCGCCTATTGGCATGAGTATGTATGGGAATGAAAAGGGCATGGGCATGCGACCTCTGCTGTTGCTAAATCCTCCCACATCCTCTCTCGCCCCCCCTCTTCATTCTCCGTATTCTGAGGACGTGCTCTCTTTTCCTCCTAGCTGCATGCAGCCTCATCATGTGCCCTCATCCCCTCAGCATAACACACCTCATGTGGTCTCTCTCATAAAAGCCTATGCTAGATATCCCCTGCATGCTCGCTTGCTGCATGTGGCCTCATGTGAAGTGAAACCCCTCCGCCCACCACCGTTTCGCCCCCCATTCCGCCGCCTCGAGCACAATTCATATGGCCCTCTCTCAAACGAACGTGTGCTAGCAATAACCTACACGGGAGCCAGTCTCATGTGCTTCATGTGCTCATCACCTCTCCTCTCTGAGATCACTGCAGGCGGTGGATAAGAAGTGGAGTGACCGCCTCAAGGGCATGGCCATGCGCCCTCCGTACGCCTTTGGCTGCATCCTTCGCTTCCTTCTCAAGTGCGTCTCCATTGCCTCGTGCATGAAATGGCGACAATCTATCGGGTCACATATTTATGTGTTTTGGCCCCAGAGACGCACACGTGACATGACATTGCAACTGCAGTGATGTGACATTCCTGTGTGATGTGATGCTATCGGCTCACTCGCTGTGACCCGTCACGGGGTGCTGCTTGATTGATGGCTCTCAAATGTAAGTTTGAGGCTTCCTAAATCATACTTCCATCTCAAGTGTCCCAGCTCCCTCGAGGGTGAGTCAGGGCCACTTCCAATCATGCCCCTGCCTCCAACACTCACACCCCTGCCTGCAACACTCTTGCCCCTCCCCGCCCCACACGACCCCACCCACCAGGCCACAGCCAGGCGTGATCGCAAAGGCCGAAGCCATGTACCACCGCCTCTTGTCCACTCCCGCCCCCTCCTCCCCGCTCCGCCAACCTCATTCTCCAACCGCTGGCCACTCGGGAGCCCCTGATGGCTTCTCGAGCCACAGAGTGGCGGTGGTGGGCATTCACCTGAGAGCGAACGACACGTTTGTGTGGCAGGGCAAGGAGGGCTTTGGGGAGCCCAAGGCTCTGAGCGACGGGGAGAGGGGCGTGCTGATGGCGTGGGCAGACAGCTACATGGCATGCGCCGAGGTGGGTGTGGTGATGGCGGTTGAGGGATTCACTGTTCTGATCGTTGGCATGGCATTAGGCTTGAGCACGGGTTGATAAAGGAAAGCATCCCGTCCATTCTTTCTGCTTTCCTTTTCCTTGTTTCACTCATCCCTTCTTTCCCGCTCCCTTTCTGCCTTTCAGAAACTGGAATTTTGGTGGATGCCTCCTCCAGCAACCGTGAGGTGGCTTGTGATCAGCAACTCACGCCAACTCAAGGAAGATCTGAAGCTTAAATTCCCCCACAAGGCATGTGCCCCCCAGCTCCCCTTGCCTTCTCCCTTTCCTCTCTCACACACACATCCATGTGCGCGTGCGCGCGCATACACTCACACACATGCACTCACCCGTCCACCCTCCCTTCCCTCCCAGGCCCCCACCCCCCACCCTCCCATCCCCCTCCCCCTCCCAACCCCTCAAAGAAACACACTCCAGTCTGCACCTCCCTCTCCGCCTCGTGGTGCGTCCTCGTCATTGTTGTCGTCTTAACTGGCTTCTGTAAGAGATTGCAACATGCCATAGTTCAAGCAGCACAGAATGAATATTCCTCATCCTCTTCCAATGCTCAATCCCCCTTTGTGTCACAGGTGGTGGCATCAGACATTCTCCCGGTACATGCCAACACTCTAATATCCACCATACGTCCGTCATCTATGGATGCTGAACACACATCTCCAGATCAAGCTACGCACGACACTGCAGCATCGGCATACATTGACATTGTTGTAGAGTGGCTCCTTTTGGCATCCACAGATGCTCTTGTTCTATCATACTCTGGGTTTTCTCATAGTGCAGCATTCTTTTCCTACCACCTAACTGCTGTTTTTATCCCAGGTAATTGCGATCCTGAGGGTCCCATAGCAACGAGTACAATAGGCCGGATTTGGAGTGGAATATGATGCTTTCAGTTCTGCTCAGAATCTGCTTTCAAGGCCGTATGTAGGTAAAAGGTCATTGGAAGTGCAAATGTTGGTGACGTGATCATCTTCTACCCTGATCCAACAGTTGGCATGGCAACCGAAAGACCAAATCTGGGCAAGTGAAAAGACCCACGAGATAATCATACCCACAAAGTTAACTCATACAGTACAAGGATACATAACACATTAACTTGGCTCTATTTGGCTCTTCAATTGGATCTTAAAACCCAGGGTCCACAGGTTTCAAAAGTAGGAAGGTTGGTTGGACTTAGTGACAAAACCAAAGGTAGGAAGCTTGGTTGGACTTTGTGACCCAACCAAAGGTAGGAAGGATGAGGCAACTACGGGAAACTTGAGACTCCGGTTGTAATATGCTTTGATATAGTATGGCTGCTGCTGTCCAGCCTATCCCGTCAGCCCCTTTGCTTGTGCTCCTATTCAAGGGAAGGATGGAACGGGAGGAAAATGCACACAAGGGGGGAAAAAGATGTCAGCAAATCATGGTCCAGATTGATAAACGTGGTATGGAGAGTGCTGGTGGATGGAATAGAGCAAGTGGAGCGAATGTGCATGAACCAGCATGCAGGAGTGCGTAAGGACACGAAAGCATAGACGCTTTGACAGGGGCAAAGGTGCAATGATTCCTCTTGATTCTTTGTGCTGGATGGAAGGTAGGGGATTTGAGGATCTAGTGATGCTTCGCAGGTGGTAGAGTTGCCATGGTGACACACAGGGCTCGCGACACAATACACAAGAGGGACTCAAGACACCACCAGAGGGACTCACATTTGAGCTCGCATTTGACCGACTTGGGCACTTGGGAGGGAATGAACGCCCTGCGAGCACCAACGAGAATTCTGCTGTTAGTCTCGAAGCACGGCCGTGTTGCAAAGCAGACCAGAGCAAATCAGAGCAGGGCGGGCGGACGCTTACCTGCGTGTGAGCATGGCGCGCCGATCGCTGCTGCTCATCGGGGCGCCTTGCCTGTCGGGGCGCACGAGCGCCAAGTAGGGCGGGCCCCCGCATCGTGGGGTGCGGTGGAAGGTGAGTCGAGCGCACGAGTACTCTTTGAACCCGATCGTGTCCCACCGCACCTTCACGACAGCGCCCTTGGCGAAGCGATTCCCTCCTTGCGGCACGCTCGCGCACAGGGCGTCATCGTATGTGAGGACCTTGTCGTCGGTTATCCTCTCAGGCCCCCCCGCGCTGAAGACATAGATGCCCGTGTTGCTGGGCGCGAAGGGGTAGGGCGGGAAGTACGCGTTGCTGGCGGTGGTCGGCGCGACGAGCACGGCTAACGCGACGAGGCCGGCGGCGAGAGTTAGTGCGGCGAGGCGGCGGAGGGCGGAGCGACCGCGGTGCTCCATGATGGCGATGGGTGACGGGGAGGCGGGGCGACGGGGACGAGCGACGGGACTGGGCGATCGCCGTGAACTAATGACGAGGAGCGCGACAATAGGTGGCGAGGAGAACGCAACTTGGAAGGTGCAGCAAGGTGTGACTTGTACGAGGTGGAATAGACAGGGAGAGTGCTGTGAGGACAGAGGCGGTGGTGACTTATGCGATGGGAGCGAGCGAATGGTGTGGTGGGGCCATCGAGTTGCGAGCGTGAAACGCGGGATCGCAAAGAGAGAGCCGCTGAGCGAGAGAGCGCCGCTGAGCGAGAAAGCATGGAACGCGGAAATTCAGGCGGCGAATGCGGCTAGTACCAGCGGATCTACCGTGCGCGTTTGTGTTGTGAGTATGAAGGAGTTCTTATAAGGGAGGGATTAAAATGGAGGGACGTTTCTGATAAGCGCAGAGGGAGGAAACGCGAAGGGAGAGAGCGGCGACTTGCATTCATTAGCTGAGGGGAGGAGTCGGCTTTGATGATCTGATAGCGCCGTTCTTTGCGGGGGACGCAGTATCTTGTGTTACCACATCGCCGACGAGAGCTCGACTGCGGACGAATGGTTTTTGCGGGAGGTGCGCTCATTGTGTCAGGCTGACACGAGGAGAAAGTCGATTGGCTTAGCGACCGCAGAACGCGGTGAGCGAGCAGGCTACAAGGGGCTTCCCCAGAACGCGATTGCGTGGTTTGAATGGGTTGTCCAAGGGAACGCGATCAACTGCCAGAACAGACATTGACCCCAAACAAGCTGATTCGATACCAATCAAACACAAGCAGTTTGAGGTGACCACGAGTTTCACAAACTAGCTTATAATATAAGCACTACATAAAGGTCCTAAGAACGTCTACAAGGAGGATAGAAATCTGACCCAGGCCATTCTCACGCCCCTCCCACGGCCACCACTTACTCTGGGCTCTGCTCCAGCTCGCCTTGTCTCTTTCCCTTCTCTCCACCTCCTCTTCTCTCGCCCCAACTTCCTTCTCGCGCTCACCTGCTTCCCTAGTGTTATGAGTTGTAAAAGAGAGTGCGCACGTAAACGAATAACGAGACTATGATTAACTGGTCAGAGAATACAATGAAGGAACACACTAATGTAGGAGCTAGCCTAGCTAGGAGGCAACCTCGGATGAGCGAGATTGGGGTGCAGGTTTGGCGATGGGAAATGCCAAAGGCGACGCGAGGAGCCTCGGCAGCGTTGAAATCGGCCGAATGTGCATAGTCCAAAAATCGGGCTGTACGCGTAGCAGTCAACCCCGATAATGAATTCGGGAAAACTCCTTACACTACCCACCCCCCCCCCCCCCCCCCCCCCCCCCCCCCGCTCCCCCCTAAGAAAGGCGGTCAATATCCGAAACACGCCTGCGCGCCAAATAATCGCCAACAAGTGACGAGGCGTCGAGCGAGTCAGAATGCACCCACGTGTCATCCTCACTGGTGCGGTCAGTCCAACGGATTAGGAAATCCACGTGGCGACCAGCTGCGTCAAGGCAAACCCGATGTGCCAGAATCTTCGAAGGTTCGAGAGTCGGCTCCGGAACAGGTCGTACAGTTGGGGCAGCTTGTTGCCTCGCGATGTCGGTCGTGGCTGGCACGAACTTCCGAAGCAGGCTGACGTGGAGGGTGTCATGAATGCGCCAGTCGTCGGGTAGCAGCAGCTTCGCGGTGACAGGTGTCACCATTTTTATAATCTTCAAGGGCCCACAAAATCGTGGCCGTAATTTTGACGGGCCGGGCAGGTGCAGGTTCTTTGTGTCGAGTAGCACTAGTTGCCCAGTGGTCAAGACGAGTTCCCGGCGTAGAAGGTCGGTATATTTGCGGGAAGTGATATTCGCCTTGCGAATTGCGTCCGCGGCCTTTTCTCGGACATCCTGTAGTTCCGTCACAAAAGTCTGGGACCTCGGGACCGGGTTGTCGAGAGTAGTCGCCGTAGGAACCGTCGGGTCCATCCCGTAATTAAGGAAAAACGGTGAGTGATTAGTCATGCTGGACGGCGCGTTGTTGAAGGCGAACTCCAACATTGCGAGTGATTCTTCCCAGCGGGCAGGGTCGGGGCCGTTTGTCCTGATCAGCTGCTCCATGGTCTGATTGGTCCGCTCGGTCTGGCCGTCCGTCTGTGGGTGATATACCGATGAGAAGTGTAGCTTCGTGCCGTACTGCCCCCATGTCTCCTTCAAGAATTCTGATGTGAACTTCGGGTCTCTGTCGCTGGTGATCGCCGAAGGGATGTCGTGCATTCGCACGACTGTTGAGATGAAGAGGCGCACAATTTCTCCGGCTGTGATTGTCGTCCGGCATGGGGCAAAATGCGCCATTTTTGTGAAGCGATCGACGACGACGAGCACCGCGTCATTGCCGGACTGCCCAGCTGGCATCCCCGTGACAAAATCCATTGTCACCTGCTGCCACGGTCGTTCGGGTGGCTCGAGGGGTTGCAGCCGCCCAGCTGGTCGTTGACGTGTCGATTTCATGGCTTGGCACACCCTGCGTGAGGACACATATCGCTGCACGTCGTTAGAGGAGTCATGCCAGTAATATTGACGGTGCAGTAATTTCTGGGTCTTATCAACCCCGAAGTGTCCGGAGAAGTTCGAATCGTGGACCTCTTGGATAAAGAGTTCATGTCGAAATATATTGTCATGTTTTATAACTGCTTGTAGTTGTAGTTAGTGTAGTTATTTAAATTGTTGTTGGTGGTGCACCTTATTTGGTTTCTATGCTATATGTACCCTTGAACCTATAGTGAAACCATCCCTTTTCACCAATTCCTCTCTCAACTCACTCGACACCTCGCCTAGGGTAAAACCCGCTCGATACCTAAGTACGGGCCTAGGCTACTAAGCCTAGGCCCCTTCCTTTCAACTTAGCCTATTACTTTAACATGGAATCGGAGCTTTTTACGACCTGGCCTGTGGGCCCGCCTTACGCTTCCGCGATGATTTTTCGGTCGCGCGCCTAGGGCGCGTGACGATTTTACTTAGTCCCGCCCACGGGTGTGTGGCTCCTACTCTGCCCGTCGCGCGCCCCGTGGCACGCGACGGTGCCCTTCATCTGCCCATCGTGCGCCCCGTGGCACACGATGGTGCCTTGCTCGTCGTGCGCCCCTAGGCGCACGATCGGGCCCTTTTTATTCTTCTACCCGTCGTGCGCCCCGTGGCACTGGCACGCGACGGGCCTTTCCGCCCCTGCTCTCCCTGAAGCCGCCCCTGACCCATCTGCACCGACACCTTTTCGCCGCTCTGCGGCTTTCTTCCTTCCCACCCCCCTTCTTCCTTTGTCTCCCTGCAGCCGTGGGGAGGAGGGTATGGGGGTGGAGGGTGTTGGAGTGTTGGGTCACCTCTCTCCCTTCCCCTCCTCCTTCTTTCAGTCCCACCGCTGCAGCTGCCGCTGGGGGGGGGAGGGTGTGAGGATGTGGGGGAGCAGGGGGAGTGGTACCGGGGTGGCGGGTGTGAGGCAACATGCAGCCGTCCCTCCACCACTCCTCACTTACCCCCCTTCTCTGCTGCTCTGCAGCAGTGTGGGGGAGGGGAAGGAGGAGGGTGAGGAGATGGAAGGGGTACCTGCTGTTGCTTGCTATGCTGCAACTACATATCTACCTACAAGCATTATGGGGGCGTGTCGAAATATATTGTCATGTTTTATAACTGCTTGTAGTTGTAGTTAGTGTAGTTATTTAAACTGTTGTTGGTGGTGCACCTTATTTGGTTTCTATGCTATATGTACCCTTGAACTTATAGTGAAACCATCCCTTTTCACCAATTCCTCTCTCAACTCACTCGACACCTCGCCTAGGGTAAAACCCGCTCGATACCTAAGTACGGGCCTAGGCTACTAAGCCTAGGCCCCTTCCTTTCAACTTAGCCTATTACTTTAACAGTTCACGCAGCAGGCTGTAAGCGGGAACCCAAATCTGGTCGGTTCCGGCTTTTAAGTAATAGTCCCCTTTCTGCGTTGTGGCCTGCTGATGATTTCCAGTTGTGAAGAACGGGTCCGTAGTGTAGCCGTGGGTGAATAGTCCGGCAAGTAATGGGTTCGAGTGGGTAATGAGTACTGCAGCGGATTGTACTGTCGGTCGGGTCAGGGCGTCGGCAATGTTATTCGCCCCTTTCTTGTACGTGATGCGGTAGTTGAAGTGGCTCTCCAGGTAATCCAGCCACCGTATTTGTTGCGGGTTGAGGTTGGGCTGGGCTCGCAGGTACTGTAGGGACTTGTGGTCCATGTGAACAGTGACGTCGGCGCCCACCAAGTAGCAGCACCGCAGTTTGAACGCGTGTGATATGGCGAGCATCTCCTTGTCGTGGATCGGGTAGTTGCGTTCGGCTGCCTGCAGCTTGCGTGATACGTAGGCTATTGGCTGCAACCCGTTCCCGAAATCTTGGAGTAGCGCAGTTCCGATGGCAAAATCTGAGGCGTCGGTGACGACTTCGAACGGCTTCGATGGGTCGGCGATGCGCAGCACAGGAGGGGAAACGAGAAAATTCTTAAGTTCCTGGAAAGCCGCTTTTGCCTCCTCCCCCCACACAAAATTCCTGTCCTTGTGCAGCAGGTCGGTCAGCGGGCCGGTTATCCCCGCCATATTCGGGATTAACCGCCTGACGTAATTCACAAAGCCGAGAAAACTCTGGAGTTCCGTGACATTCGTCGGGGACTTCCACTCCTGTATGGTCTTGATTTTTGCCGGGTCGATTTTAATGCTGTCGCGCGAGATGACGTGCCCCAAAAACTCCAACTCCTGCTTAAAAAATTCGCACTTAGAGCCCTTAGTGATGAGTCAGTTCTCCTGCAGCCGTTTTAAACACCGCATCCAGGTCACGGAGGTGCTGCTCCCTTGTCTTGCTAAAAATCAGGATATCGTCCAAGTAGACGATGACACATCGGTCTAGAAGATCCCGAAAAACCCTGTTCATGGTGAGTTGAAATGTCGAAGGCGCGTTCGTGAGGCCGAAAGGCATCACTGTAAATTCGTAACTTCCGTAGCGCGTGCGAAACGCAGTCTTGTGACAGTCGTCGGCGAAGACTCGAATCTGGTGGTAACCGCCACGTAAGTCAATCTTCGAGAAATAGCGGGCGCCGCGAAGCTGGTCGAGGAGGTCGTCGGTGCGTGGGATTGGGTAGCGAGACTTGATGGTGACCCGGTTCAGCGTGCGATAGTCGATGCACATGCGAAGCCCGCCGTCTTTCTTCGGAGTGAACAGGATGGATGCTGCGAAGGGAGATGTGTTGGCCCGAATGAACCCTTTCTCCAACAGTGCGTCAGTCGAACCTTTGACTTCGCAGCTCCTCGAGTTCCGGCTGGGTCAACCGCCACTGTGTTCGAACAGTCGGCTGCGCGCCAGGTTCGAGCTGGATTTTGTGGTCCTCAGGTCTCTCGGGTGGCAGTCCAGGTGGCAGGTCGTCGGCAGAAATGTCGGGGTACTGTCGAATCAGCTCCGCTAAATCCGGCGGTACAGCTGCACACAGCTTCTCGATGTCCTTTCCGTCGGTGTCAACCGCCAACTCGCGTAAGCAAACAGCGAACAGCTGCACGCCCCTGTTGAAGTGGCGAGCTATAGTGATAACTTTGACGCACGGGGCTTGGATGTAGTGAGGTGTCCATGCAGGCAGCTTAATTAGCCCCTCGTACTGCATCAGCGCATCTGTAGACTCCGCCAGCCGTACTGATCTTGATCGTTGTTACTGCAACTGGCCTAAACCCTAAACCCTAAACCCTAAACCCTTGCCAGCGACCAACACAGGGTGATCCACATGTGTATCCCCGTTTTTTCGGCCGAGTGCGATCGATTGCATGAATCGGAACCACGACTCGGTGGGGATGGTGGGGTTCGGGCGACGGAGCACAGTCAGTAAAGGGCCCGCTAATTACTGACTCTTCCCATTTCCCTGCTCCTTCCTGTCGTTCCCCGTCAGCGGCGTTTTCTCGTGGCAATCTTTCATGTAGTGACCCGTCTTCCCACACCGGTAACACTGTCCCTTAGGAGGGCGGTTGGGTGTATGGACGGCGTTGATCGTGGCCCGATGGGTCTGGCCACGAAAGCGGTTTCCATCCCTGGAAGCTGCTCTCGCGTACTGCATCAGCGCATCTGTAGACTCCGCCAGCCGTACTGATCTTGATCGTTGTTACTGCAACTGGCCCTGCTGCCACTCACTGCCTGTCCTCCTCTTCGAAGTCACGTGTGAGCGAGTCCAAAGGATTGCTCACCGCTTGACAGTTGCCCTCGCCTTCGTCCTCGGGCGACACCTGACGCGCTTCACCCCGCGTCTGGCGCAGCTCGGCGTTTTCTTCATGCAGTGTTGTTACTTCCGCCATTAATGTCCTCATGCTCTCCTGCATTTCTGCCACTTGCGCCATCATCTTGTTAACCACCTCCTGATCCATGTGCCTAGCGCTACGTCTGGTGGGCAGTCGAGTCTCCGTGGCCTTCAGGGAAGTGAAAACACGAACTATTGGAGTCGGGCAGGATTGAATTAAATGTTAAACTATATTTATATATGTTCTTTATAATTGTCTGCATTGTAGAGTGTAACATATCCCAATTTGCTCTAGCATGCTTCTCCTTGCTATATTATGTACTCATCTTTCTTAGTGAAGCCACTTCCTCTGTCAAACTTATATGACTTAGCCTATGTAGGCTATAGTGGGGTAGAACATATGGGGTACAACACATTTCTTGTATCCAACTTTCCCTTAGTCATTTCATTTTCCTCGTTTCTTATCATGGTATCGAGCATGTTCCCTAGTAGGAACGCTACCTAGGGCCCACCACGATATTTTTTTTTTCCTGCCGGGAGCGCGCTTGACTCCTGCCCGAGTCGCGCTCTGTGTGCCCTCCCTACCTTCGCGCCGCCCTTAGTGGCCCCTCTCACGGCCCCTTACGCCGCCCTAACGGCCACTCGCGCCGCCCTCTACGGCCCCCCCGCCCTTACGGCCCCTTACGGCCCCTCGCGCTGCCCTTACGGCCCCTTACGGCCCCTCACGCCGACCTTACGGCCCTCGCGCGGCCCTTTCGGCCCCTCGCGGCGCCCTTTCCGGCCCCTTACGGCCCCGTCGCCGCCCCGTTTAGGCCCCTTGCGGCCCCTCTTCGGCCCCGTCTAGGCCCCTTGTGGCCCCTCTGCGGCCCCGTCTAGGCCCCTTGCGGCCCCTCTGCGGCCCCTCTGAGACCTCGTCGCCGCCACCTGCGGCCCCGTCGCCACCACCTGCGGCCCCGTCGCCGTCACCTGCGGCCCCGTCGCCGCCACCTGCGGCCACGCCGCCGCCACCTACGGCCCCGTCGCCGCCACCTGCGGCCCCGTCGCCGCCAACTGCGGCCACGCAGCCGGCACCCTGCGGCCCCGTCGCCACGTGCGGCCCCGTCGTCACCACCTGCGGCCCCACCGACGTCACCTGCGGCCCCGTCGCCCTCCCCTAGCGGCCCCGTCGCCCTCCCCTAGCGGCCACGTCGCCGCCTCTACCGGCCCTGTCACCGCTCACCCGCCGAGCGACCGAGCCACCCAGCAGCCGAGCGGCCCACCAGCCGAGCCGCCGAGCCGCCCAGCAGCCGAGCCGCCCAGCAACCGCGCTGCCCAGCAGCCGAGCCGCCCACCTGCCGAGCAGCCGAGCCGCCCACCAGCCGAGCCGTCGAGCCGCCTAGCAGCCGAGCCGCCCAGCAGCCGCGCCGCCCAGCAGCCGAGCCGCCCACCTGCCGAGCAGCCGAGCCGCCCAGCAGCCGAGCCGCCCAGCAGCCAAGCCGCCGAGCAGCCGAGCCGCCCACGAGCCGAGCAGCCGAGCCGCCCAGCAGCCGAGCCGCCCAGCCGCCGAGCCGCCCTACTGTCGAGCCGGTGCTGTTCCTACCGGTGCGCCCCGGCCCTACTTCCTCGGACTGGTGAGCTCACTCCCTACTAGGCCACTGCAGTCATGGCTACCCCCAGTGTCCTAACTTTTGATGCTGAGGGCCGTGCCGTTGACTTTGAGGTCTGGATCGATGACCTCCAGCTGTTTCTCCAGTGCGATAGGGCAGACGGACTCTCTCTGTTCGATCTCACCTCTGGTGTCTCTCCCGCCCCGCCTAATACTGTTGACAGCACTGTTCGCTCACAGTGGGCCATACGCGATGCTGCTGCTCGCCTTGCTGTGCGTCACCACTTACCGACCGCTGAGCGTGCGCACTTTAGCCAGTACAAGAGTGCTAAGACCTTGTACGACTCTGTAGTTGCACGCTACTCCTCCCCTGCCACTGCTGCTCTTAGCCGCCTCATGCTGCCGTACCTGTTCCCTGACCTTGCTGCCTTCCCACAGTCGCTGACCTCATTACTCACCTTCGCACTAGTGACATTCGCTACCGCGCTGCGCTTCCTACCGAGTTCTATGCCAAGAACACCCCCCCCATGTACATCACCCTCTACTACATAGTCACCCGCCTCCCTGACTCCCTTCGCTTAGTCAGGGACCACTTCCTCTCAGTTTTCCCACCACTCTCACCGTCGATCTCCTCGAGGAGCGCCTCCTAGCAGCAGAGAAGAGCATAGTCGCTGTAGGAGCCTCTCGTGGTGACCCTCGCACCCCCGTTTTTTAGGGTGTTCCCCCTCCCCCCTCTTGCCCTCTGTTGTCTCTCCTGCTGCGGGCCGACCTCGTTGGTTTCAAGTCGGTTTGGCGCTGCGTCTGCCCCTAGCGGGAGACGCCGCACCGGCAAGGGCAAGGGGGGCAAGGGCGCTGGAGGGGCTGGCGGGGGGCGGTGGAGGTGGTGGTGGAGGCAGTGGAGGGGGGTGGGGGTGGTGGTGGGAGTGGTGGCGGGGGTGGAGGTGTCGGTGGCAGCAGTGGAGGCGGAGGAGGCGGCGGCGGTGGCGGAGGGAGCGGAGGCGGCGGAGGTGGTTGAGGCGGCGGAGGCGGCGGAGGTGGCGGAGGCGGCGGCGGCAGCAGTGGACTTGGTCGCGGCTCTGTGCAGAGGAGTGGCTCCGGTGGTGGTACGCGCCAGCAGCAGCAGCGCAGTCGTGAGACCCTGTCCCCTCAGCAGCTTCGTGAGTGGTACGCTGCGCGTCAGCTCGGTGGGGGTACTGGTCCCTGCACCTACGTTGTCCGCACTGGCAACCGCGCTGGTGAGTAGTGCGGGGGCCCGCACTCCACCCAGCGCTGCTTCGGCCGCCTGACGGACGCGTGGCGTCACCAGTTCCCTGAGGCCTCTGAGATCCCTCGCTGGGGAGAGCTGTCTAGGGCGGGGGTTGCTATCTTTTGATCTTGATTTGATGCTATTCTTGCTGCCATGTATGCTGTTTCTGATAGTGTTGAGGTTGACTGTTACCTGTGTGTTCCGCCTGACCCGGGCATTGAGTGCGGAGATAACTGCAGCAAACGGGAGCTAGGCTACGGGCTAGGCACGTGTGCTCGTGTGATCTCTGCGTTCTCTGTTCCTTAGTCGTTTTCCTTGTGCACACACTACTTGCTAGTTCACGGGGAAAATTGGCAAGAGTTTCACTAGGAAAAGTTCAGAACAATGGTACAATCAAGTTGGCAATGCAAGACTACATCAGGGCTAGCATTCAGGTCGGCCAACTGCCAGCGCAGCTTGGTCGACCGCGTTCCAGCACGGCTTGGTCGACCGAACTCCAGCAAGGCAAGGTCGACGGCGTGCCAGCGTTGCTCACGCAGGACAGCAGTGCACCCGCTTCGCAGGTGTGCGTAGCCGATTGGCGTGCAGAGTCCCGTCACCTGCACAGCGCACACTCCACGTCAACCTTGAGCTGACGACTGCCTCTGGCCCGCCACAAACGACCTCGGGATACCACCACTGAGGTCGTGCTCGCCAACTTCGCCTGGGCGACCGTCGCACTCCTTCGCAGCACTTCGTCACCCAGGTAACCTGGTCGACCAGGCTACCACGTCGACCAGCAGCTCCCCGTACGTGCCCGTCGACCTCCCAAGTCGACGACCACCTCCACGTCGACCTCACTAGGTCGACGACACCATCGGTCGACCTCCTCCAGGTCGACATCCCCTCTGGTCGACCAGCTCCACGTCGACCAGCACTCCTGGTCGACCTGCTCCTCGTCGACCAGCACAGTCGTCGGCCGACCACCCACGTCGGTCACCCGAAGCTGGCGTCACAATAGTTGATGCCCAGCTACTGGATGCCCAACTTGCTCGGCGTCCTGAGTCGAGGTCGACGTCGGCCCCTCCTTCGTCGACCACCAGGTCCAGTCGACCACTAACAGGTCGACTAGCCGTCCGTTAGCCGATTGCCGAAGTCGGCTTCAACGTCCTCTGCAGGTCGACTCCCAAGTCGGCGCCACCCCTAAAGTTGGCGCCCGTGCAGTGATCCCCCGTGCAGTCGACCTCCTCGTCGACCAGCTCACCCACTGCTGCAGGTCGGCTGCTCCCCTCACACCCGACCATACAGTCGGCTCTGCCCAAGCGAGGACGGGGCCAACACCCAACTCCCGTTGACACTCCCCTGCCGCGTTCACGCTTGGGCACCCAGCCCACACGGCAGTACAGCTTGGAGACTAGCTCGTCGACGTGCGCCCAGCACATAGCACGTCGTCCACCGCACCAGCCATGCAAGAGGGCATGGCACCTACTGCTGCACGTCGTTGCCGCCGTCGCCCACGTCGGCCAAGCGCACTTGGCCGATTGCGACGGAAGCACCGGTTTGAAGGCCGGATAGTGCAGCGCTTTCGTCAGGAAGTCGGCCGGCTGCTCAGCGGTCGGGATGTACTGCAGCAAGAACTTCCCGCGCCTCACCATGTGCTGCAGCCAGACCTGTCGCTGTTCCATGTGCTTGAGGTTGCCAGTCAACCCCATGCCCTCGGCGACCGTGATGGCCGACCTTGTTGTCCACACGCAGGACAGTCGGCTTCCCGGCGTCCAGTTGCCGCAATTCAGCGAGGAGAAGCGAAGGCGACGTCCCTCCTTGCCAGCTTCAGTGGCCGCAACGTACTCCGACTCGGTCGACGACAACGTCGCGCACTTGATGCGCTGGCCGACCAGGAGACTTGCAAGCCCCTCCGTAGACGAACACGTAGCCGCTCGTGCTCGTCCTGTTCTCTGCTTGTCACCGGCGTCCGTCAGCGTCCACGTAGCCGACCAGCTCCAGCAACTCAGTCCACCGCCGAACTCAGGGCGGTGTCGCGTGTGGTTGGCGAGGGGTGAGGCGAGGGCAGCGATCGAACCCTCGCGCCAGTGCTGGTCGCTCCTCACCTGTGAGGCCGCTCCCCAGCTTGCTGCAGGCGAAGGCGACGTCCGGCCTCGTCGTTGTCGCCGCGAACTGCAGCGAGCCGACCTTCTGCCGGTACTCCTCCTCCTGCCGTTCCTGCGCCTCCTCGTCATCGAAGGTGAGTTCGGCGTAGGCACCGACCGAGACCGGCGTCTTCGGGGTGCGCCCGTTCTGCTCCTCGTCGAGGAAGCGCCTACGCAGCTTGTCGGCGTAGCCCTGCTGGTGCAACCACACCTTCCCCGCCGACCTGTCGCGCACGATCTCCAGCCCGAGGTACTTCTGCACCGGCGAGATCTCGCGCAGCTCGAAGGCGGCTTCCAGCAGCTCCTTCAACTCCTTTAGCAACGCAGCGCTGCTGCTGGAGGCAAGCAGGTCGTCGACGTAGACCAGCACCCAGCAGGCTACTTCACCCTCGCCGACTTTGTAGTAAAGGGCCTCGTCGACCTGGCTCTTCTTCCACCCGGCGCCGACCAGCACATCGTTGTGCGCGAAGTACCACAACAGCGGCAACTGCTTCAGCCCGTACAGGCTCTTCAGCAGCTTCCACACCCGGCCGGTTCCGTCGTTGAAGTAGTCCGGCTGAGACATGTACAGCACCCGATCGAGCTTGCTCTGCAGGAAGGCGTTCTTCATGTCGAGCTGCATCAGGTTAAGGTTGAGGACGGCGACGATGCTGAGGAAGATCCTCAGCGTGACATAGCTGCTCACCGGCGCGAACGTCTCGTCGTAGTCGGCGCCATACACCTGTGTGAAGCCCTTCACGACCAGCCTCGCCTTCTCTCGCTCGACGGTGTCGTCGATGTGGTACTTCGTCGTCAACACCCACCGGTTCTTCATGACGTTCACCCCCGGCGGGCGTTCGACCAGCTCCCAAGTGCCCATGTTGATGAGGCTCCGAATCTCCTCCTCCATGGCAGCCTTCACCGCCGGGCCCTTCCAGCTCGCCAGCGCCTCTTTCACCGTCATCGTCGAGATGTCCCAACGGTGCTCGGGGTGAGCTAGCATGTCGGGGTCGAGCTCCGAAAACTCCTCATCCTCCTCGGTGTCGTCGTACTGCAGGTCGTCGTCATCGTCCACGTCATACACCGTGGTGAAGGCAGCGGGGACGAAGAAGTCAGGCGTCCTCCGAAGTCGGCCTGAACGTCGCGGTCCTTGCTGGACCTCCTCGGCGTCCCCTCCATCGTCAATGTCGTCACTGCCCTCGGTCGTCCTGCTGCTCCTCAGCCGGCGTCCCAGCCGACTGCTCCACTGTGGTCGGCTTCCCAGCCGACTTCTCCCCTGTGGTCGGCTCCCCTGCCGACGTCCCGGTCGCCGACTGCTCCGTGGTCGGCTTCACGCCAGCCTGCTCCTTTGTCGGCTGCTGCTCCCCGACCTGCTCCTCCCCTGTCGACTCCAATCCCTCGTCGATTCGCCGCTCGTCACGTCGGCCACCGGCGATGCACTTGGCCGGCGCCGAAGGCGGCATCCCACTACTCCCCTCATCGCCGGAGGCCGACACCGAGGTCAGCCCACGCATGTCGGCCACGAGGGGAGGGGTCAGAGGGTGAGGGGTAGGGTGTGGACGTCCTCTACGTCCTCAGCAGCAAGCTCACCGACCTCGGCAAGCAGCGGCAGCGTCGCCGACGAGGTGTCAGAGGGCGGCAAGCGGCCGGACACCAGCCCATGCTCCGTCTTCCACTCGGCCAGCGACAGCTCCTCGTAGAACACCACGTCCGACGTGGTGACCACCCAGTCAGTGGCGACGTCAAGGAGCTCCCAGCCCTTGCTCGCCTCTGACACACCAAGGTGCAGGCCCCACTTGGCCTTCGGCTGCAGCTTCCCACCGCGCTGCTGCTCAGGGACAAGGAACTGTGCCATGCAGCCCCACACCCGTGCCAGCGACAAGTCTGGCTTCTTCCCGGTCAGCAGCTGGTACGGTGTCGTTCCCGGCGGCAGCGTCGACCTCTCAAGGCAGTTGCGGACCCAGACGGCCTGCCGCAGAGCGAGGTGCCACCAGTGGTGCTGCACACCCATGTGCAGCAGCATAGTCCGCACCGACTCCACTACCGTTCTCATCTCCCGTTCCGCCATGCCGTTCTGCTGCGGGGTGTATGGGCAGGTCAGGTCGTGGACGATCCCCTTGTCGTTCACGAAGTCGGTGAACTGCTTCCCGAGGAACTCCCCTCCCCGGTCAGAGCGCAGCATCAACACCGACTTCTTTGTCTGCCGCTCAGCCACCGCAGCCACTGTACGAACGCCTGCAACGCATCGGACTTCTTGGCGACCGGCTTCACCCACACATAGCGGGTCTTGCGGTCCTTCAGCAGCAAGAAGTACAGGCTGCCATCCTTGGCAGCCACGCGAAACGGCCTGCATAGGTCGATGTGCACGACGGCCAGCACGTCGTCGGCGTCGGAGCCTTGGTCGGGGAAGGTGTGCCGCGCCAGTTTCCCACCGACGCACGAGACACACGGGGAGTCGGCGTCCGTCGCCGACTTGAGGTCCAGCCCAATGGCGACCTCGTTCTTCGCCGAGCTCCGTATGGTGTCCATGCAGACATGCACAAGCCTTGCATGCATCCGGTCCGGCGTCGACTTCGTCTTCGAGACGATCGCCCGCAGAGCCACCACCTCCGTCGTGGGCGGAGTCGACCTCGTCGCGCAGGGGCGCAGGTCGGTGCAGAGGACTCATCCAGAGTACGTCGCCCGCCCGAGCACCTCCCCTGCTGCCGAGACGAGCAACATGCCGTCTCCGTCCTCCTGCAGCTTCACGCCATGCTCCTTCAGCTGGCCGG